TTAAAGCAGAATTATAGAATGCTCATAAGGAGCCTTTGTTAGACTGGATGAATCTCGCCTCATGACTGTATTGAGTCAAATAGTTTTAAATATAAATATTCCCTCTTCATTGTTTCTGTAGACTAGTCCCACGCTGCTATGTTTGATTGCACTAATGTAAATAGTCACTTGGATAAAGGAAGTTTTTTTTAACACTGCTGCTTCTGAAATTTCTTTAAATCCTTCTAGAAACTGTCTTGAAAAATGCTTTTGTGTATGGATGGCAGTTGGAATCTTATGCTGGATCAGAGCGGCTGCATAGACTTAAAGCATATCTAAACCCAAAAGCAAAATAGTGTATTGCAGCTTACCAATCCTTAAAATGGGTGGCTGCATTAGTTTGTGTTTTTCTTTAGTGTTTTTCATTTTTATTTTCACTTGGTGATTTGGCCAGTAAGCCTGTTCAGTTTTTTTTTAACTGACCAGCAAGTGACAATGGGTTAAGACAAACCATTTAACACTGACAGGGCTGCTTATTATGGTTATTTTATATAATTTCTTTCTTCCAAAAGAGATATTAAAATGTGGCTGTAATTGCATAAGTGTTATCTGGAGCTTGACATTTGTTTAAACCATCTAAATCTAATAAACCATCTAAATCTACAAGTGCATCTAACACTAACCTCTCAGCAGGTTGACAATGCTGTTGTTCAAGGGTAGCTCTATTGCTGCTCAAGGTGAAAATGGGAAAAGAAGCCTAAAAAAACAAATGCAGCTGCCACATTTAAGGATTGATAAACGGCAACCTATTACATTTTTATTTTGGGCATGTCTATACTTTAAATCTGACTGCTTGGGTTACGATGTAGGTAAATATTTACAAATGTCGCGGCAGATGGCTTCATTTCTGTTTACTGCATGAAAGGCACATAGGGGTGGTAGAACATCAATGCTTCTGAGAGATCGGTGATCTCCAACCACTACACAGTGAAGTTGTTACTGGTGGGAAAACTCTACAAGAGTACTCATTGGGAATATTTCCCATCACTCCTTTTTGCCAATCCTATAATTGGGTTTTCTCATCACTTTTGTCTGGTGACAGTGGTCACATCAAGGGAAATTTCCCAGTGTGACTGACAGATGTCTGAAACAGGGCACCAAACCTTCCCTGATCGATCTAAAGAACCTGCTATAGATTGCTAGTTGGGGAAACTTCTCATTCCAATCTGCATAAATCAGACCTATTTTTACAGTAGATTTCACTCTTTATGGTATGTTTCTTGTACAGCCAGCAGTGACAAGACACAGCTACTTCTGTTTTGTATAGTATGTCTGGGCTAGAAATGGGATTACACACCCAGTGCAGTAACTGACCATTTTCAAATAGGGGTTTTTTTTTTGTTTTTTTTTTTCCGCCCTTGCAGGCTACCAATCTTTTTCCACTAACTGGCAGTAACTATATTGCAAATGATTTAGGGGGGCCACCAGAATGGCTATATTTTTATAATGCATCTGAATAAAGGCCTTAGATGGTATAAGGGCATTGTCTTACAATTTTATTCATGCTTTCTGACCAGGATGCTTATCACCCTCCAGTTATGCAACACGGCACCACTGGGAATATGGTGTTAGGATTGGCTATCCTTCCACTTGTTTAAGGAGTAGGAAATAAAAATGCCAGCAATGTGCACAGTGTACATGAAGCATGCATATTCAGTTGCTTAAAGGAGAACTATGAGGTTAGTGCTTTGCACTAAGCCTCATAGTTCTAGCCGACCTGTGACAGTAAACTGTCACAGGTCGGCTCAGTAGATCGGGAAGTGAGCGAACACATACCGGCGTTCACTCACTTCTCGATCCTGTCATGGCGCTCTGCTGTATTCCCACCACTCCGGTTCTCCAGCGCTGACTGGTGGAATGGGAGGGGGTGGGTACAGCTGGCTCTGCCTCTAAATAGGCAGAGCCAGCTGTCACTCATGCAGCTGGGTGGATCCAGACATGATTGTCGGGATCTGCTTCAGCATCTCAGTATACCGCGAGCTGCAACTTGCTGTATACTGCGGCGTCTGTGTACCGCTAGCTGTAGCTGGCGGTATACTGAGCCTAGGGTGACGGGAGGATGCTAGTTTGTGTCCTCCCGTTACCCTAAGGAGAACTATGGGGAAAAGCCCTGACCCCATAGTTCTCCTTTTTTAAATGAACACAAACTTTGTGTCCTTAGTCCAGTGGTTCTCAACCTGTGGGTCGCCACGTGCCTTCTGCGGCACTAGCTGAGAGGCTCCTCAGCCGCCTCCTCCAGCAGCAGTGTCAGTTCTCCTGCTGCTCCACCAGGTGTCACTGCAGCGGTTGGGGAGGGGTGTGGCCAGGTAAGCTTCTGCTGTCAAACTGTAATGAGGGACACATGGATGGAAGGTTAGTGCCAATACCAGCAAGGTTCCCCCCAGGGTGGCCCTGGTGTGGTAGGTGAGGGGAGAGTTGTGTTGGGAGAGCTGGATGGTGGTGCCATCAATGGCTCCCCAGGTGATCGCTAGGTTTGGACTGTCAGTGGAGAGCAACCAGAAATGGCAGATTTATTTGACAATTTTATTTCCAAAATAAAAAAACACAATACGGTAAACCAGTCAAGAGAGCCAAATAAACAAGAACAAATATTAGCAATCACAATTCTGCATTATGAGTCCAAGGTGCAATTGCAAAGTGCACATAAGGCAAGTATCAAATGGTGCTTCAGTTAAAAAGGTGAATACACTGAGGTGTGTGTGTGTATATTAGTGTTTGTGGTAAAAAGAACTACATGGTGTAATCTAAAGTCCCTCTTACAAGATTTAGCAGGGGGAAGGCAGAAATCGGAAAAGACAATAAGAAAATTGGAACAAAAGTGAAAAACGTGGAGAAGTGGAAGGAAGAAGATGGAAGGCTGAAAAACAAAGCAAGGCCCAGGGGTCGGGGTATGTGGAAAAAAAAAACCTCACACCGTGTGCAGAGCAGGATCAAATCTAGCGGAGTATGCATAAGGGATCCAGTGGCGTAACCAGAGTAACGGGCGCCCGGGGCAAAACAAAATTTTGTGCCCCCCCCCCCTGTGATATGTGCAGGTGTACAGGTAAAATGAGAGCATGCTGGGACATATCATAATTGAACTACAAGTCCTAGCATACCCTCATTGTCCCGCTACACCCCCCAAAATATTACAATCAACTGGTTATCATACAAGTGGGCCATGGTATTTTTTAATCACCTTTTTTTTTTAATTAAATAATTTTTTTCTTATTTTTCTCTTATTTTTATTTATTTGTAATCAATTGTTTTCATTAAACTTTATCGCTATCACACAGGAGCTAACAAGCACCTGTGTGATAGCATTTGGAGGTGACAGGTTCTCTTTATTGAACCTGTCACCTCAAGAATTCCACTCCGCTGCAGCCTTTCATTCGCCGGGTCTCGCTTGTCACTGTAACGCTTACAATGTAATAAATGGATTTGGACGAGAAACTCACGGTTTTGTGAATGGATTCCAAATCTTAGGCAATTGCCTCTCTTCATACAGACATCAATAGCGTACGTTTAAGTTATAGCAGAAATAATGAGCAAGTGTCAGGGGGACTCCAACTTTAGTTCAATGAGAATATAACTGAACGCCTGTACAAGAGTATTTCTTTATACAGACGTCAAATAGCATATGTCCAAATTATAGAAATATAAAGAGATACTTACTATTAGTTGCTCTGAATGTACAGCTTGCTTCTCTTGATCACGGCTGGTAGTTGTTGAGAGTGGTTGTTCTGGACAAGACCCCTTATGTCTCTTGGCCGAGTATCGGTCAGAAGCTGGAAGGCTCGAAGAATGGACCGATTGTTCGGGTGATGAGGATTGGAGCGACTGCTCTGAGGATGAGACTGTGGATGAACGTTTTAGATACTCAGGGTTCGTTCCAGTCCAGCCGTTTCCCGTTCCTGTTGGAGACGATCCTGTTGCTGTTCGGGACGATCCTGTACCTGTTTGGGACGATTCTGTTCCCATTCAAGGCGATCCGGGGTCTGATGCCCAGCTATTCGCCTCTGCCGATCCTGTGCCCGAGTTCCAGCTCATCGCCTGTGACGATCCTGTGCCTGCTGCCCAGCTCCTGGTTTCTGCCGATCCGGTGC